GGGAAGGCGGCGTTTCAGGTTGTACAAGGACTTAAGTCAACAATAATTTAGCTTGTAGCCTGCACTGATGTCAAATGGCAGCGCGGGTGCCTGGAATGGCAACTTTGGATGGAAAGGGATGGGACAGGACCTGGAGTAGGGCTGGTGAGACCGGCATTTTCGCTTCACTTGCCCGCACTTCGCACTGGACAAGGACTGACATTTCCTGTCTGTCAGTTTTGTAGATGACAAAAAAAACAGGGAAGAGAAAGAGAAAAAAAGCTCTAGGTGCCATTGCCGAGTGTAAACAACTTGAAAATTAGCCGCTAATGAAGACTCGTTACGTTGCAAGGATTACGGCAGCTGCCGGAGTGGCATTGTTTGGCAGCATTGATTGTGGCAGCGGATGTTTGGCAATATTTGCTGAATTAAAAACGACACCGGAGAATGGGAACCGTAGACAATGTTTAAGTTAATTCACTTACTTTTCAGTTGAGATGGAACTAAGGAGTGTATATTCTCACAACAATTGGTGTAGCAACTCCTATTTAAGGTTACATTATTCAGTACTTTATTCTGTAAACACATAAATGTTTATAAACATTTGCGAGCTCGTTTAAGTAATAAATAAAAGACAAGCTGTCGAGTGCATGGGTTGAGGAGAAACATAGCTCAAGGAAATAACGACATGAAATAGATGATTAACAGAAAAATTAATTCAATCATATATTTTCCGCTATATAATATAAGTATAGAAGCATACACATTCAAAATAAATTTAAGAATAACTCCAATACAAGTAATTGAATGTATTGGTATTGGAGGAATAACAATTTTATCACATTAACTAATAAGAAAATGAATTCAGTAATTTAGTATCCTCCTTATAAAATCTTTAAAACAAATATAAAAGAATAAAACGACACCTGTGAAGACTGCCACAAATTGTTCTTAATAGAGTTCAAGCATAATATGTTTACTTATAATATGAAAACAATTTATAGTGAGATACATATATATAGCATGTTATACAGATGCATTTTGATGCCACACGGAAATAAGTAGACCTTGATATTTGCATATTCTAATTAAAAACCTATATAGTACCACTTATTAAATGAAGAAAAGAGTGCTGATTTAACAGTGTTCGAAATCAGACGCAGTGTAAGAAACTATTTAAAGTTCATATTGAAAGTATAAGAAACTGTTTGTAGAGTCTAGAAAACTATTTTATTAAAGTAAGCTGTGATTTTAATTAAACACTGCTGCTTATTTTATTTTATTGGGTAACCTCTAACACCTCAATCCATTTTATTACTTTCTGGAAGTTGTGGAACAGTTGCTTGTGATTATCGCTTAATGGATTACAATCAGGAACTACAATAATTATAAGTATTATTACTAAAATTACAAAATATTGATTATTTTTTTTTAATTTATTCAATCCCTCACAATATGGATTAACTTTGAGTTGTACTTTGGAACTCAACCAACAACCATTATTTTTGAGCAAAAAAGAAGAAAACTCATTAAATAATGTTATTCTTCACCTATTTTTTAACTAAATTTAAACTCCAGTTTTAATTTTGTATAGGCAAAATGTATATGTATTGTTATTAATAATTCCATCAATTTATTGATTAATACCTTCACGATATAAAATTTTTTTAATTTCAATTCTTTTAACATCATATAAAGAATTTAAAACTTTACCAGGTCCTTCAGGATCTACATATATTTTTATTTATTTATTTTCATTAAACTTTGCCAATCAATTTTGAAAATACCAAATCAGTTCTAAACTATGTTCTAAAGCATATTCTTGGAGGAGAACACTGTAAATTAATTATGATATTGCTTTATTTGAGCAATTAACTAAGTTATATAGTTAAGCAGCCGATCTGGCAGTTTTATTTTTTTACTTTTCTCTCAAACTTTCCTGCATTCCTTGCTGCTCAGAGCATTGTATTGTAAGTCTTTCTTGTAAAAAACAGACAGTCGCTAACTTGGACTAAATATACAAATTAAAACTATTTATTTAAACTAACAAGAAAGGAAATGCTACAGTCAGCTGGACTCCACCTTTAAATACCCTGTACTTTCACTTCCAATTAATTAAATAAATTTAATTTAAAAAAAAGGAAATAACATCAGAAAATAACTTAACTTGTCTTTACACGGACTAAAAAAATCTGGATAGCAAGTTAAGTACGAAATCCTTGCGAACAGACATTTGGACAGACGGACATGGCATTATCGACTCGGCTTGTCATGCTGATCAAGAATAAATACACTTTATGATATACCCCTGTACGCTTATATTTCAAGTATGTCTGAACCACATTTAGGTGCAGAGTATAAATGTTTTTCAAGCACTGCTAAATAGAAGTATTTGTTGAATTTTCACATTTTCCACTGCTGCTGAAATAGTTTTTTATATTCTTTCACACTCACTCAATTGCGCGATAGTATTTGTTCAGCCAACCGATCACTTCTTCCATTCAACGTTTGCCTTTACAGGCATTTGTTTCACTCACTATCGCACAACACTATTCAGCCACAAAACTGTTTAGCTGTGTGTGTGGGTGTGTGTGTGTGTGTGTGCAATCCCACAACCCCACCTATTCCCACCACTGGTTCACCATTTTTTTTTTTTTGCAGACGGTTGCAGCAATCAAGGCATTTCAACATTTTTTATGCGCTCGGCACACACGTATAATTTGTATTGCACTTTTTTGTTCGCTGACCGATGTGAGGCATACACACGAACATATAGTATATATACCTACCTACATACGTACTATACTATATATATAGTACACAAGTTTGTTTGTTTGTTTGTTTATCTGTTTGTCTGATTGTTCGTTTGGCTTGGCTTGGCTGTGCCGGTTTGTCGAGCTACAAAACAAAAATAGATTTATGCTTGCGGCATTTTTAAGTGACAGCAAACGAGCAAATTTTTGAGGTCCTGTCCCACCATTGTCCTGGCGGCCATGCTCAGCATTGCAGCTGACATGACAGGACATGACAACATGTGATGTCTGTCGCTGGTAATAAATCTTGAAATACTGCGGCAGCCAAGCACTGATTTGCTTTCGGCTACCATTTTTTATTATGAGTAGCTCTTGTTGTTGTTGTTGTTTCTATTATTGTTGTTGTGCTGTTCTCCTGAAGCCACAACTGAGTTGAGCCGATGCGAGTTTTAAATTGCAATTGAGCACGGTGGAGCCTTTGAAAGCCTTTTGATGCCGATAACAAGTAGAATGCAAAGCAGGAACGTTTTGTTTTTTTCTTTTTGGAATGGAACACATTTAGCAGAGCTTTTTTTGTGGGTGTGTGTGTTTTTTAAGGGTTTCAGAAATATCAATCTATATTTGTACGTGTACTTAAGTATATTCTTTCTTTCTTTCTGAAAGAACACCGAGCTGCTCTTGAAACAAAAAAGTTAAGTCCTGTTTACTTCTACAGACCTAAGCAATTTTAATAAAGATAAATAATATACTCGAAATTATGTTCGGAACAAAATATTAATAGCAACATTTTTCAAATATGTTTTAGCAGATAAAAGAATTTTAAATGTAAACTGTTGAGTCTTAAAACCATATCAACCTTTTTTAAATAAAAGTTGGCACTTGCTTAAGCTTGTCTCATTGCCTAAATATGGCGTACAACTTGGCGGCTAATATATTCTAGATATACTCTAGGGCAGTTAAGAATATTTAAGAAACTACATACGTTCAAGAATTGCAGCTGTAGCTGTTCTTGAAACAAAATATTTAAACTTGTATTCGTTTAAGGTAAGCCCTGTTCACTATTTATTTTTAAACATAAATACTGAAACTAATTTTAAAATGTGGTTGCAATTTTGCAGCAAAGAGAATATAATATTAATAGCGACTTTTTCCAAAAATGTTTTTAGTAGAAAAAATAATTTTAAATGCAATTTGTTCAGTCTTAAGATCATATCAACTCTTTTAAAACAGTAATCATTTTTTAATAGAGAAAAAAATTAAAAATGTAAAGTCGTAAAACCATATCAACACTTTTTAAGCAAAAGTCTGCACTTTGATATTTTATAACTGCTTAAGGTTGTCTTATTGGCTGGGCAGTTAAACTCTAAATATACTTTAGGGCTAGTTGAGAAAATGCAGCAACTACTTGTATATACATTTTAAATATGCAGCTGAAAACTTCCTAATGCGAGTATATCACCTGTTTGTTTAAAAAGTGCCTGAATTTTCAAGCAAGGCTCTAACAGCAATTTAGAAATTTGAGAAGAGAGAGATTTTTCATATACAAGTAGACCTGCCCTTTGTTTTACAAATACAACTCGTTATTAAGTTGTATGCTGGCAAGTGTTTGCCACATTCTCGCTCGTCTAGTGCGCTGAAATCCTTTATGCCCGTCCACTGTCCCTGCCATTTGCTTTAATCCGCCAACACGAAATAAAAATATGAGACTCGCACACATCTTCCAACACCGATCTCCACCAAAAGCAAAAACAAAATGCAAACAAAAAGGATTCGCACCCACACACACACTATTTAGAGCGTTGCGTTGGTCAACATGTAGCGAAAATAAATTGAAAATCGCTGCCGAACAACTCAATGGTTTGTATTTTTTTTGTAATCTTCCCGGGTAAGTGCAAAACCATAAAAATTTGTATGAACATTTGTTCGGTTCGGTGTGGTATGGTTCTGGTTTTGTTTTTGTTTTTGTTTTGTTTTCTGATCAATTTAAGTTTGTCTTTTGCAACAAAATTGCACAAAAGTTATTCCAGTGTTTAGTCAATATTTGTGCATGCGGACGACGCAGTATCGGGCTGCAAAGTTAGCTGCAAGCGCACTTTATCATACTCGTATATAGTACATTGACAAGCGAGTCAGTTAGTCAGGCAGTCAGTCAGTCAACATTAAAGAGCTACGGGAAAAGTCAAAGTAGAGCTGCAGGTAGGTGTGGCATTACGACGAATAGGTAGGAATAGCTATGGGATACTTTTCATTCACTTTGTTGCTACTTACAGTCCACACTGACTTTGATGCGCTTCGAAACCGTGGGTGGCACTCCATTCGATGCAATGCACAGATATGCTCCCATGTCCAGGCGAGAGATGCGCGTTATCTCAAGTGTGTCGCCCTCCCACTCGTTCACTGCAAGCACAAGGAGACAAGGGATTGTATGTGTGTGTGTGAAGAGCTACCTTTCCTTCGACTAGTATGACAGCTAAATGATTGATGCAGCACTCTCTGGCCCCATCCACTTACCTATGTGATTCTTATTGATGGCTATGCGAGAATTGTCATCACGTTTCCATTTGATAATGGGTCTTGGACTACCGCTGGCACGACATCGCAATGATATGTTGGCTCCCTCGCGCACAATCACATCGCTCGAGCTCAGCGAGTCATCAATGTTGGGCGGCACTAAATGAATGAAGAGTTGCAGTTTATTCTCAATTTAATGCACTTATACTACAGAGCTATACTATATATGACAAATAATCGAGTTATGAAAGAAGAATCGAGTGAAGAAAGCATTTCAAATAAGAAAGAACTTCAGGTAAATAAATTTCAGAGAAAATCAAATATCAACACTTGCAGTTTATTTTCAATTTAATGGACTTGTACCTTATACGATACATGTATTAACATTTATACACAGTCTATATGACAAATAATCGAGTTATGAAAGCATTTCAAATAAGAAAGAATTTCGAATTAAAAATAATTTCAAATAAGAAAGAATTTTAAATAAATGGATTTCAAAGATAATCAAAAACTTTTTATTGCTTTTCCTTGTTAGATCGACATAATGTTCGAGGAATATAAAATGTAGCTATAGAGGAAAGCACAAGCTTGTCCCAAATATGTCAGAAACTCAATCAGCCGATTAGCTGTTATATAAACCATACAACTTAGAAAGACTGTAAGAAAAGCATGTTTTTGTTGTTAAATAATAAATTGGGCTACATCCCCAATTTGTGAGTACAGATATATATACATGATCATGAAGGATTAAAGTTTTGTATAATTGCTCTAGCGCTGATGGGTAAAGCGCTTGGGTATATAGTGATATCTATTTATACAGCCATCATATTAAAAAGCCATTAATGCTCTCGGCTATTTGACTGCGAAGCAACAACAAAAAATCAGTGCTTTAATTTATTTACCATAGACTCAATGCTATCACTAAATTGTTATGCCCATAAGCCGCTTAAACAACAACAAATATAATAATAGCCGCCACAACAACAAACAGTAGTCATGAAACCCATTTAAGATTAAAAGGCTGCTTTTTGTTGTTTGCACATCATCATGAAATACGCGTCGTTTTTTGGCTTTTTGGTTGGCTCCTGCGGCTCCTGCTCCTGACTACTGAGACTGGGGAGGGGGGCGGAATTATATTGGTGTGACCAACCACATACATATATTAATAATATCTATTTCACGCTTTATTGCTGCGGTCGGCAGTGAAGCCGCCTCTCCCAACAGAGCGTTAGATTTAGTGGAAAACAATTACAGCACAGTTTTCAGCGCACGTTTAAACACATGAGAAATTACAAACAGGAAATTGAAAATCGTTAAACCACATTGCGCAATCGTGCATGGTTACAATGAAGACACAATATACTTGTATTCTGTGTTAATATTTAAATATTTAATTAACTACCAATTTAAAAATGGTAAATAAATAACACCTTCTCAATTACTCGCCAATAGCAGAGAGATTCTGCTTTTAAATGTGAAGTAGATAATCAAATATCCTTACTATTTGCATAATAATTAATAATTACACTATCTTTTTCTTCATTTAAAAATATAGTTCTTCACGGCAAGATTCTCCCAATTATTATTTGAACAACTTCATATTCTCAAATATTCTCTTATAATTATGAAACGACAATAAACTAAAAAAAAAGGCATTCGATGGCTAGAAACTGTGTGTTAGAACAACCTTCTATTATTAACTAGTATTATTTAATAATCAAATAATCTGTAAAAAAAAATTAAATAATAATGAATAATAAAAATGTTTAATGTTCGAATAAAATTAATTATATTAAAATAACATATTTAAAAGCTCGATATAATTGAATTTTTATTTGACTAGCGTAATAATTTAAAAGTAACCTAATGCGTGTAACGCTAGGAGAAGTTTTATAAATAAAAAATAAAAAAATAATAAATAAGCACCAATAAATATATGCGCTTCACAAAAACACAAAATCTATTCAAACATTTACGCTATGAAAAATTTAATAAAACAATTTAAAACATATTTGTTTTACAGCAATAAGTAATTTCTATTTAGTACTATCTATTCATATATCAATAGGCACAATTATGACTGATTGTCTGTCCCTTGTGCATTCAACAATTTAATTCAAATTTTTTGTTATTGAATTTTATTAGGAAAACATTTTTGTAAATGGTGGTCAAATTTGTTGCTTAATTTCTTTCATTGCTGGAAAAAATGAATATTTTTTAATTATAAAAACACTGCACACTCCCTTTCGCCCAATATCGCGTGCATTTTTTATAATTTGTTTGTTTACCAACGGGAAAATAATTTTGCGAGCAAAAGATTCACTGAACTGTGAGGTGGACACACACACACACACACACACATACACCAACACACTCACACACACATACACACAAATACACACAAACAGAAAAGTGAGCTTTGGTTATTTTTTCGTTTTTCGCGCAGCAAGCGGAAACCTTTTGCTTGCTTTTTCCATTTTGTTTTTACCGTTGCCCGTGTTTCAGTTGCTTAAAGGCACATTAATTATTTTTGTAATTTGGCGAGAATTTACAAAGGACTTTCGCTTGTTTTCGACTTGTCGTAAACATGGCCTAGAGCCTAGGCTATGGCCAAAGCAAAAACTGATTAGTTTTATTAAATTTGCGCCTAATCTTCTCCCCAGTCTCCCTCTCTCTCACTCTCTTAGCTCTTTTTACTCACCCACAACATTTAGGTAACCGAATTGCGTTTTCGCTGTCACTGTATTGATCTGACACATATAGCGTCCTTTGTCCTCCTCGTGCACATTATTTATGTGCAGGTACCAGGTGCGATGGCGGTCGTGCTTGTCGTGCGTGACACTAATGCGTGGGTTGCGCGTTATCACGTGATTGTGCACCGTCAATATGGCCGATTGTTCAAAGTGCATCCAAGCCACCTGCAAAGAGAAACGAGTGCATCATGTAATTACAATCCTTAAGCCAAATTATTAAATTATCAATTCTTTTTTTGTTGCTAATTTGAGATTTGTAGGACTTAATTGAGTTTGATGATTTAAGCAGCTATTTAAGACATTTTTTTGATCTTTTTCACGACCTTGTCAGTCAACACAGAACTCTACAATAATTATGAAGCTCATTCCAACTGAAAGTTGTGCAGATTTGTGATATTTTCACACATTTGCCACCAACTGCCTTCTTCTATCTTAGAATAGATTATAAATACTGATAGGCTTCTAATATAACCAACAAATTCTACTTAAAAGCCTTGACATTTATCTTAAAATAGCGATAAAGTTTTCCACATTTTTAATGCATTTAATTTGTTCTAGCTATCAACCTACCTAACTACCTATCTAAATTATCCTAGTTCCATTGCTTATCAAACATCTCAGCTAATCAAACACACCTGAATATTTGTTTGCAAAACACGCGTGTGGTGTACTAACTTTTACAAAATATTTAATAACCTTTAACACCGTAAAGGAAGTGAAAATATAAAAAAGCGTAGTTGGTTTTTCCAATGCACACGTGCACGGGTAGCAATTTCACAGCTCATAGCCAAAAAAAGGAAGAAAAAAAAAGAAAGGAGGAGCAGTAACAGGAAGCTCTAACAGGAGTGGTGGCCATGTTCGCAAAAAGTGGAAGCAAGAAAATTGCATCATAGTGTCGCATATAAAAATAAACGCAGTGCTGCTGCAAGTGTGTGTGTGTGTGTGAGTGTGTGTGGGTGTGTGTGTGTGAGTGTGAAATGTGCCATTCCTGGTTTTCACTGATAGACATGGAAAACATACCATACGTACGCACATCCATGACTGTATTGTAAGTTTCCTGAAACAGAAACCCAGAACGGGCAACTAGAGCTGTGTCTATTTCAGCTTGCCAATACAAGTAGATTGGTTTCATATTTGTTCGCTAACAAAATGTATACTTAAATTAGAGGTAAATCATTAATGAATTGGCATAATAAACTCTGCTAATTCACAATTTTTAAAACAGTTTGATTGAAATATTAATTGTTAGACGAATAGAAAACTAAAACACATTTCTCAAACGCATTGAAAATACTTCATCCTGTCCAATTTATTTTTACCTCTTGGCTAAAAAAAAATTAATTTACCATTTTTATGACATTTTGATTGAAATATTTATTTATATTTATTTATAATGTATCAAACAAATTTCTAAAACAAGTTTAAGAAACTTCATCTTGTCTAATTTATTTTTACATCTTGGCTAAAAAAATGTACCTAAATCATTAATCAATCATCATGTCTACTAATTAATCATTTTTATGACATTTTGATTGAAATACAAATATTTATAATAACAAGGATAGAGCAGCTAGTGTATCAAACAAATTTGTCAGATGAGTTCTAAAAACTTCAAATAACGTCTACCTTAGAAACCCACAAAGAAGGACTAGAGCTGTGCAGTCTATTTCAGCTTGCCAATACAAGTAGATTGGTTTCATATTTGTTCAGTAACAAAATGTACCTATATTAGGGCTTAATCATTACCCAATTAAGATATTTTGTTTGAAATATTAATAGTTACACGAATAGACCAGCTAATGTTCTAACAAAAATGTCTCAAACGAGTTTAAAAACTTTATCCTGTACCAATTTTAGTAACTCTTACATATCAAGCCATTGCAATAATAGTTTGAAATAAAGTCTATCTTAGGGGCTATCTTATTAGTGCTAAATTATAATCAACGGCTTATTTCGGCAACTAAAATACTCTTTTAAGATTAGTACCGTATTGCGCATTTCATTAATCTAAAATTCTGTTTAACAATGTTTCAATATTTTTCGTTGTTGAGTTTCAAATACATAAATAAATAAATAATCAATTCTACTAATTCTCCATTTTGAAAACAGTTTGATTCAAATATTAATTGTAATACGAATAGAGTAACTAATTACCAAACAAATTTCTCAAACGAGAAAAAACTTTATTCTTCACCATTTTTTATTGTTAACTCTTATTTATGGAGCCATTGCAATAATAGTTCAAAATATCTTCATTTAAATCTAAACGACTATTTTAAATGGTTTGCTTTCTCTTCTTTGATATTGACAAAAAGTTTGCTCTTACATTCTGAACTGGCTCCAATCAAAGCTAAGCGACTTCAATCCGTTTGGATGTGGAGTTATTTACCTTTAACCACATATTCAGCTACTTAGCCATGCCATCAGCTAAAGCGACTGCCTTGATCTTTACTCCTGCGCCGTTTCCATATTTCCCATCTCTAGCTCTATCCGCATTGTTATTTGCCATTTTATTTACTGGATGCCATGCACGTTTTCCATTCCTGCTGCATTGGCAGGACACGTGCTTCTGTGTGTGCGTGTGTGTGTATGGATTCCTTGTCGTCACCTAAGTCGCCATTTTCTTGTTACTCTCATTTACACCTCAATTTGATTCTATTTCCTGGCATGCCAAGCCAAAATACTTGCAGTAAAAGGCAAGCTGAGCTATCCAGGTGCGATACTTGGATGTAGAAGCGCTTCTAAAAAGGCGCTGTCTGAGTCTTTACTTCAGTCTGTTCGAACGTCCCTCAGTCAGTCAGTCAGTCAGGCAGGCAGACAGGCAGGCAAGGAGTCTTGAGTCGGTTATCCTCTCTGCTACTTCAGTGAACTTTTGAGTGTGCGATAATGATGCTGGGCGCGCAGTGTTGCATCAATTTAAAGCTTTTGATATTCATAGCCATAGCCACCTTTTCATTTTCATGGTAATGATGTTTTTAAATTTGAAACGAATCGCTGGCTTACTGAGCTACTTGGCCTGATCTTCGACATCAAATGCGATTGCGAACCATTTTTTTATAACCAATTTATATAAATTGAAGCATATTTGGCTTGCATTGCGTATACGTAATTTTCTGCATTTAATAAGCTTTTTTTTGCACCACGCTCGCAATTATCTGGGACAACCTTGCAGCAGTGCTTTTTTTTTGCTCGCTTATCTAATCCTTTCAATACGTTTTTCTGCACCGTAATCAAATCATTAGCACTCATTACGCTGATTTCTTACAAGCTGCTTAATTAATAAATCATCCGTTTCCCTAACTCCCTCCCTTCCTTTCCTGCCAATAGCAAATCGAGCGAATGCCACAAAAACTGCTAATGATGCATAAAGTTGGGTGTTAAGCGGTGCATGTTTTTTCTCTTCTGATTGAATTTTTAAGCTTCATTAAATAGTATATGTATATTGCGGTAGAGTTTTTCTAGCACTGATATATTAAATGCTATTCTATGATGGTTGGCGAAAAATTAGCAGTGAAAGTGCATTGAATATTTAGGTTTTTATTTTTGAACTAGGGAGAAATAGGAACCGGAAATGTATAGCAACGACATTGTAAATTCTTAAGTTTTATAAAATTATTTAAATTAATATTAGGTCTGGAATTAAAACGAATTTAAATTTATTAAATTATATCACTATATATGCCTTAATCGCCGGCTACTCATTAGAATGTGAGCATTGCTCGTGCTTTGGAAAATAGTACCAACTGAAAGAAATGACAGAAGAATATATAGACTTCTTGAAGTTGGTTGCCATGGCAGACAAGATCTTCCTAGAACATCTGAGTATGATTGGCTGATGCCACCAATATAGAGATTTCAATTTAAATTTGCATTTCAGTACAAATAGCAAACCATATTTGGTTATTAATTCACAAGCAATACGAATGTACTACAAGGAATAATTAATTTGCGATTACTGCATTGCCTAGGCATAATTATATTTAAGCAACCCTGCTAATAAGATTTACTGACAGTTTGAAAATTTGAATTAAATAAATATTTACATATGTTACATAGCCTTAAACAGAGATATAAGCTGCGACTGTTTTAAAGACATTTAAGATCAAATCAGTTCAATTAGTTTAAATTAAATTTAAAAAATATAGTGTTCTTTTCTTTAAAGAAGTCCTCTCAGCACTAAACAATTAAAAATACAAAATCGAGGAAGTATAATAGGTGAAAATTTACCTTATAAGAGCCAAGATTTTTGACCGAACAACCCAATTTGACATTACGTCCAGCAGGTACAGTTACATTTTCGATGTATTCGGTAAATTCGGGTTCTTCAACAATAGCTGCAAATAAATAAACAAATAACTGATGAACAAAAATGCCACAATTTGGTGTTAGAATCAAATATTTATTACTAATATTTACTTAACTTAGTTAATGCTGCAGCCATAACACACACGTTCTGCTCCAACAATAATTACTAATTTGCATAAACAAAAAACCATAGAAATCAATTATGCGCTACATGCAAAATTAAATATTAAAAAAACAAAACAAATCAAGAGTGACTTTATAAAACTTTTGGGCAAAATGGCAAAGGCGAAATAATTATTTCATTGATTTTATGTAATGCATAATACTTGTAAATACAAAAAGGGCCATTTCCGTGTAAAAAACACATGTATTGCAAAAACAAAAATGAAATGCAATTAACATGCATATTGACGCATCTACGCACACATACTCGCACACACACACACATTTCGATGTTTGCTTTAAAAATCAACAAGTTACAAAAAATCGCACAAGTACCCGTAATATTATCGTTGCTTTTTGTTTTTGTTCGGCTCCGAACATTGTTGGCCGCCCACCCGCTGCTGCGTTCATTCAATTTTTAATGACCATAAAATATATTAAATTACCATAAAAGCAGGACGAAAGTGTCCGTATAGTACACGAGTATATACGAGTATATATACATACTTGTATGTATAGGTAAGTGCGCATTTGACTTACGTCAGTTTTAATAACGCGCAGAAAGAGAAGCACAGCGGAAATTGTTTTTATTTTTTATTGCAATGACATAATGCTGCGAAAGAATGGTTGCAGAGATGTCTGGTAATCCGATTCGACAGAACATGCCATATTTTGAGTTTGATGAGTGGAAAATATAATTTCTGTTGCAATTATTTCGTTAGCATTGTCGATGCTTTCACCGCCTGTTTCAACATAATTCCTTTGGCCGTGTGCCAACCTAAGAAATCAAGTTATGTTTTTTAATTAAAACTATTTTTGTATGAACTTAAAAAAAATCATGTTTAAAGTGTTAAAGTCTTTTGGCCGTGTGCCAACATAAGAAATCCATTTATGTTTTCTAATTAAATATATTTCTGTAAAGTGTGTTTTAAAAATGTAATATTCTATTTGATGGATTAATTGAATTAAATGCTCTGTTATATTAAAGGAAACTTAACTCTAACTAGCTTAAACACTTCAGAATTGAGACTTTTGAGATAATATAGACTACAGTTGTACAGTTATCGATTATCGTTAACATCCATTATTTTATTTAAACTTAAGATAAAGAGTATATAGGTTTTTAAAGGATAACGAATAAAGCAATCCAACGGGGAATTTAAAAATATTTGTCCGATCAAGCATTAGGGTCCTTAAACTAGATTCAACTTAGATATATTTTATAAATAAATAATTTGATTAAAACGCTTTAAACAGCGATTGCTGCTTAGAGCATTTCAGTAGAATGTAGAAATTGTTCATTTAATAATAAAGCGTTGTTTAAATATTTCATTTATTTTGGTTCTAAATATCCGCCCACATATTCCTGAACATAACCCTCACATGTTCATATCAAACAAGGCACCTATATCAACAATATGACATCCCTTTACAGTCAGTCGTTAGCCACGAGTCGTTAACAGCAGTCGTCGGGACTGAGTCATCAGCAGCAGCAAGTCATTTGAGAACCACATCAGAGGTCCTGTCGTATTCAGTAACCGTCTGACATTTCAGCTGTCCATAGAAGTAGCAATAAGTCGACGTCTAACTTGAATATCCAGTGTTAGCTTACACCATTGTATTACTTGCGTTAAAATTCAACTCTTCTTTAAACTCTTCTATTCATTATATTATTGATCGTTTTAAATACAACAACAAATGATAAAAAATGTGTTATTTGTACTTACAACCAAATTATTGATTATGGACTGAAATTTATTGATATGTTGCCAAATAAAATAAAAATACTCAGCTGTTTTTTAGAGGTTTACAATTGTCTACAATGAAGTCGTGCGTAGCACAAACACTTATATTTACAACTTATATCACTATAGTACTTGCTGAGAAGTGAAATAAATAAATGATTGCGATAAATTATTGCCTTTACGTTACATTAATTAAAATGTATCAAAACATGTTAATGCTGTAATTAATTTTTGTATACACATGTAACTAAAATGCAGCTAAGGTCTAAAAGGAGATGAAATTATTTCAAGTTTCTAAATAAAATGAAATTAGTTCAAGTTTAACATTTTACTTGCATTTCATATAGGATTTTGTGAATTATAGGAATTGCTTTGCATTAAATTAAATTATGCTGATCGATTCATGGAAACTCAAATTTCCATTTACGAATAAGCAAACCAAGCACTACGTTGCAGTTCCCAAGCGCCTGCAACTATGCAACAGCCTTGGCTTTAGCCTAATTAGCTATTTATGATGAGTACGTCACGAGGATCCCGGCAGGCATATGCACTAATGCACATATGTATTTATGTGTAATGTGTAATATATGCCTATTATATGGATTGCCCAATGTACATAAGCCCATTAAACTCGACCATGAAAGTAGCCGCTGGCTAGCGCGAAATTTCGGTCGTAGGAGGACTCGCATGTAAACAAGAAGAATGCATCGAATAATTTGCTGTGTATATATGTGTTAGTAGAGGAAGTTTGTGTTAACGGTTCGTTTCGGTAAATAGCCTGTAACTTATAGGCAGAAGGTGAGAGTTAATCACCACTATTATGCCAAATTTTATAAACTATAAATTAATCTCATTTTATAAACTAAAATAGGTTTTGGGGAAATACATTTAAATATTAGCTTTATCATTAAATAAATAAAGCGTTTATAATCCCATGCATTTAATATGTGTAAAAGCCATACTAAAGCCGTAAAATATTTAAAGTAATGTAAGAAGTAAGGACCAAGGCATAAGAATCGACTAATTGGTATACAAAAATTATATAATAATATTTATAATAATATTCACTACAGCTAAAAAATATATAAAAGAAAACTATAAAATTAATAAATAAAATATTTAATGTCAAATAGAACAAAATTAAATTTGTTATACAATTAAATTGAATAAAATTAAATGACTAAAAGGAATCTGGCAATATTAAATAAATAAATATTGTTAGTCTAATAGAATATATACTCTTAAAAGCATTCTAATAGCTTTAGTTTTATGACAGAGAAGGCAAATGATCATTACAGCTAAGAAAAGTATTTAAAAAAAAAACAATAAAATGAATAATTGTAATGTTTAATGTCAAATAAATTAGTTATTAAATTAAATTGAATAAAATTAAATGGCTAAAAGGAATCTGGCAATATTAAATAAATAAATATTTTTAGATTTTATAGTCCACTAGAATACATACATACTTTTAAATATATTATAATAGCTTTAGTTTTAAGAAAGAGAAGGCAAATTCTTATTCCAGTGCTACTATTTGTTGAGCCTTTGTTGCTTTATTGGCAACTTTAAAAAGTCGATGCATCAGAAACATAAATGACATAAATGCTTTGCATTCCTAATTAATGAACGTTAAATGCGAGCTCAAATGTTGTCTATTTTTATACTAGTATATTCTCATATACATTTGCAAAGAAACAAAAGCGAGGACCAAAACAGGTGCCAGAAGACGAAAAAAAAAAAATAAAATTGGGCGCACAGAGCTGCAACTCAAGCGTAAATCTTTCATAGGAAATTTTCTGCATAATCATGGGATTTCAGGCAGCTGCAATTTTCGCGCCACAGAGCACGCGTCTGCATATAAATGCTGACTGCCTGCCTGCTTCCTGACAACAACAACAACAACAGAAACATTGCTGGCAAGGACAGCAAAAAAGGCTGACAATGATACATATTGGCTAACGGCAATTGGCACGACACTGCAGTTGACATGCCAGAAACTGTTGCAGAGGGCGGTGGGGAGGGGGGATGCTGTGGTTGCTGCCGCTTTCTATGTGCATGTTGTAGTTGTTTTTGTTGTTGTGGTTGTTGTTGTTGCCATCGCCTGTTGCCCAACGACATAAATTGCGTCTGTCTGGATAAATTTCGCGCACAGTTAAGCGATGCTCAGCTATTGTCAATGCTTGTCCTGTTGTTGTTGTTGTTATTGTCATTTCTTTTTTTTTCAGTTACTATTGTTGTTGTTATTATTGCTGTTGCACCTGAGAACAATGACAGTTGGCTCGTGTAGATTGTCGGTTTTCAGTCTACATTTACACAAAAGGGCATAATAACTTTGTCACGATGTTGGCGATGCATCGAACAGAAAAGCTCCACAAACCATATGAGGACATTTTTAGTTTGTTTTGCTGCAACTAACTAATTATGCGATTAACTTATTATTCGAACATTTAAACAAAGGCCCAAAATAGTCTGAGTAGAAAGTCTAAATTTCTATTAATTTAATGCGTTGATTGTTAATGCTCCAGTCAGATGCTACTTATTAATTGGTTTTCTTGCTCATTGTCCTTTTCTTAACTCTCTCTACGTTTAAGTCGCTTCATTAACAGAGCTTCGTTAACAGATTTTCATTAACAGAGTTTCATTAACAGAGGTACTGCATAACAGGGCTACAGTATAACAGAGCTACTGTATTAGATCCTAGCAATCCATTGCTGTAGAATTCATATTTTTATAGCCTGTACCCAAAGGGTGAAAGGCTATACTAGTTTTGTGCGCATGTATGTAACACACAGAAGGAGGCGTGGCAGACCCCACAAAGTATATATATTCTTGATCAGGATGAGAAGCCGAGTCGATATAGCCTTGTCCGTCCGTCCGTCTGTCCGTCTGTCCGTCTGTCTGTCCGTCTGTCCGTCTGCCCGTATGAACGCAAGGATCTCAGAAAGTATAAGAGCTAGAATAACCAAACTTGGTTTCCATATTCTCCTAAGACCGAGAAAGTACGAGTTTGAGTTTTTTTTCGATGCACCCCCCCACTCCCCCGCAATTCGTGTTTTTTCTTATAACTTCCGTAATTCTCGGAATTTTGAAATCAATTTTGGTAGGTACATCCAGTTAGTACTAATGTGTCCGTGTGACAAATTTCATCATGATAGGTCAATTCTGAAGAAAGTTATAGCCATAAGTAAAATCGCTGCTCATGCGCTGCCTCTGTCGGCAGCGCTGCCCGCAGCTGTTGTTGTTGTTGCTGCTTTGGTTCAACTTTGTGCTGCATACATACACGCATATAAACACGCATAGGTACGTGATGTAAATGTATGCTGTTAAAACTGAACATAAACATGTATTCTCATTTAATTTAATTAATAAATTCATTAATTTTTTTTAATAATTTAATTTTTTTTAAAAAATTTTTTTTTTTTTAATTTTTCTTTTTTGTGGAGAGTACAGGCTATTTTACTGTCGGGCTTGCTCGACTGTAGCGTTCTATCTTGTTTACCATAATATCTATAAAAGTGGTCTAAAAATTTGCTTGAAGACTCTTAGTCTTTTTAATTATTTTAGGGACCTTTAATAAAGTATACTTTCTGATTATTTATGTCTTTTTTCCACATAGTACGGGGAATTGTGCCGATGCGGCTTTCTAAAAGAAACTCTAGTATTCATAAGTATTACAAAAGAATTAAAAAACTTCCTTTTCGTATTATCGATGTATTGGGTATTCTTGTTTATTGCATTCGTTGATTACAGAAATGGCTCTACTAGGCAGCTACTATAGTTAGTAATGCGGAGTTTTCAATGCGATGCCAAACAAGAAAAGTTTCCAATTATCGACTGCATCGCAAATATTAAGAAGCTTCTCTCGATTAGCAAAAATCTAGTATAACTATAAATTTTAGTAATGAATAGAACGTAAGGCGTCTGATAGACCGAACTATAATTAAGACATTTTCTTGGACATCAAGATTTGAAAATATCAACTGCATCGCAAATATTGAGAAGCTTTCAAGAATCTAGTCAAACTTTAATCAAGAAGAAGGTACAAACTCTGGATTTGGATAGTGTATGTAATCATCGTTATTCGGTCATCAAGATTTGAAATTATCGACTGCATCGCAAATACTATTTAGAAGCTTCCAAGAATTTAGTCAAATTTTAATAAAAAACATGATCCAAACTCTGATTTAAGCATTAGCTTGGATAGTGTATGCAATCATCGTTGTGCGAACATCAAGATTTTCGCTTCTGTCTGTCGGCTTTCAATTTTTGGCAAAAAGTCGTGTATCACTTGTGGCCCGAAGGGCCGTTGTGGCAGCTGCCATAACTTTATATGGAAGTGCCCTTAGCTGTGGCGACAATCTGAATATTATTGATGGCATCACTTGGCGTGCTCGCGCACTTTCTTAGCCAGCGGGCATGTTATATACGAGTATATATATATATATATATTGGATATTAAACACAGCCTCAAAGCTTTTTGGGAATTTACTTAAAACATTATTTTCGAGGCATACTCACTATTTAAATTCGACATTGGCACATTGGCGACACCGCCGGCCACAATCACGCCATTGCTGCCAACCACCGTGTTGCCACCGCTGCCACCGCCGCCGCCACCACTCCCTCCAACTGCCCCTCCACCACTGCTGCTTGATGATGTTGCTCCTTCATTTGATGTTGCCGTTTTGCTGCCACTTGCATGTTTGCCGCCACTCCCCAAGCTGCCGTTCAGGATTTGCGGCAGGATGATCTTGTTGGTGGAGTCCCCCGCCGTTGCCGTAAGCATTAGGAGGGCCCCAATTAGATGCCAAGATGGCAGCAACATCAACTCGCCGTTAGTTTGCCACTGCTAGACAGCTCCAATGGCGTCTTGGTCTGGCCAAAGTGCATTATTCCGTGGCAGGCTGCCCTCGGGATACACTATACGTATGTATGTTTGAACGTTTGTATGTGTGTGTGAGTTCGAGCTCAGTTTGTGTTGCGTTGTTGGTTACTCGTCGATTTCTGGATGCGATTCTTTTTCTCTTTCTGTTCTGGCGCTACTTATGCATTAATTTTGCAATTCGCAGAGTATTTTGTTTTAGTTTTTCAGCTCTTGGCAGTGTTCTTTGTTTAACGTTTGCATTAAATAGTTTAGCAGAGTTATTTTCAATGTCTCTGCGCAACACCTTTAAATGTTTAAGTATTGCATTTTCTTGTTTAAGCAACCACCATTTCATTTTTAATAATAATTGCAATAACCACTATTTAATTATCAAGGTTTATGATATTGTTGAAAAAATTACATAGCAAATATTTATTATAATTAACTGAATGAGAGAAACTATTTATATTGTTCAGAAATATTGCAGGCAACTCTTTTCCCACATAATTCAGTTTAATTCAGTAAATATAGAATAATATAGAATTGAGAGATATGTCACTCTTATGAAATGGATGCTACGAAAATGCAGGAATTAAATTCCCTTAAATTTTTTAATTTAATGGAAAACCAATTCAAGTGTTTGCTCAAATATGTTCTTTAGAAATAATGACTATTCCGACTTTAATTTATAATTTACAAGAGGAGAGAAGTAAAGTCTTATAAAAAGTACTATTTAAAGCAATAGCTTGTGAGTATAAACATTTCTAATAAATTATTCATCATTGAACAAATAATATTATTAGTGTCCGGGTGTATATATTAAAGGCAGAACTAAAAGTACAAATCAACTAAAATATAATTGCAAATGTGGTTAAAAAACACAAAAAAACGAATGTGTACTTGAAAATTTATTCGAAAAAAATTCCTAACTTAAAAAAGAATATATATTATTATAATGAATTTATTTTAATGAAGCTATTTGCAGAAGTGAATGTATAAATTAATGAAGATATAGTGGAATTGTAAAAAGAACTATAATTTATAAATTTCAAACTTTTAGAGCATTTTATAGTTGCCTGTAACTGTTAAAGTGTGGGCATTTAGATATCTTTTTCTTTTATTATTGGAGTAGTTCACTTTAAATCAAATTTTATATTAATTAAATTTTACTACTTCATGATTTAATATTGTTATTTCTTCATCTATTTTTCTTTTTTGTTCGGTCTCTGACTACTCTGTGCTGTGAATCGGGAATATAAGTTATTGTTTTAAATTCTTAGTCCTTAAATGGCTTAAAAGTTAAGCTAATGAGACTCCAAGCTTAGCGTCTTTGCTTCCTTATCAGAACTTCTAGTTAAATGTTTTCAAATCTGTAAGGAATTTGTTCCTTAAAATAAGTTTGTAGTACTATTGTTTCTTTAGTAAATAAATACTAATAAACTTTTTAATATTACATTCCAATCAGAAAATAAGAAATTACAGTGCACGAATGATCGAAGGCTACTTGGAAGGTTGAAGGGCTTCTTCCTCAACACTAGCCCAGGGGATGAGAAATTACCGTCGGTTTATTAAGAACGACTAGAGTATACAATTGTTGGGCATCTTAAATACATATACAAGTAGTATTCAGCTTTGTTGCCATGAATTGAAGTTGTATTTGCTGTTCTGCAAAGCTGCTAATTGTTACAACAAATCGGCATTCACTTGAATTGTTTATTATAGTGCTGTGCTGGAAAAATGAAAGCACTTTTGTGGCTTTTAAAGTTCTTTCAAATTCTATTCCTTTTAAATACATAGTCGTATATTGGAATTCAATTTGCGGCAAACATTCTTCAATTGCCTTTCGCACAGTCTTAAATAAAACGCTCAACAAATTTGCATATGAATTCCCAAAGCAAACTTACACACAAAAAATTGCTATGGACTCCAGACCCCACACCAAGGAGATCTGTGTGTGTGTGTGTGTGTGTCGAAATTGCTTAATTCTCAAGTTTTCCATATGACTTTTTGGCGTTCATAAATTTTCCTTCAATGCACTCTCGTTGCGTTGCTCGGTGTTTGCATGTGCATGTGTGTGTGTGTGGATATATATGTGTACTATATAGTGTATTGCGTGGGAATTGTTTGCTGTCTACTAACTTCTACGCTTTTTCGTTTCTTTCGCCCAAAATCCAATGCAGATTTTGGCTGGGAATTCAATAAAGTTTGGCAAAATATTATGCCAGCACACCACACTCGCATTCTGGCTTGCCAGCCCAAAGAAAGTGTAGAGCTCTAGGCACCCACGTGCCGTACACTAAAAAGTTTGTGGGGCGCCCGGAAAAACCCTTTCGTCTTTTTACTAACGGAACAAACTGCAAAAGTCATAAAGATTTTGGTCTATTTAGTTGTTTGCCAGCGCCCTCTGGGGGCCAATTGTGATATATACGAGTAGTACTATGTGGTATGAAGGGGGGGTATGGAGGCGTAGTGTCTTGTTATCTTAACAAAGTCGGTAAGGCAAAGGCATGTGTAAAATATTTTCGGCGGTTTCCCAACGCAAGATAAAATTAAAAGTTGCCACTGGAAAGTGGTGAGCAGAAATCTGCCTTTTCAACGATTTTTACTTGTTACGTACACTTGGAAAAGGGATTTTCAGAAAATTTAAGTAGCTGCCACAGAAAGCGAAAAATGTAGAAAATTAAATTTTTGCTCATATCAGTCTAAAGGTTCAACATAAAGTTTAAAGATGAGTAATCAATGGTCAGTAGTTAATAGTAATGGAGGACAAATCTAAGAAAAAAAGAATATAATATATAGAAATATAATTTTTCGTATTTTATTATTTCGTTTGAACAAAAAGGCATTTAATTTACCAAAACTATCTTCTGATTTTCTTAAATATTTATAAACTGTATTTTAACTGTCATTTTAAAAAGTTTAAATAAACATTACTATCTCTTTAAAATGTCCCAGATTTTTGTTTTAATCAAGAAATATATGTGGATAAGGTGGCTTTTTTCTTCCGAAGAACATGAGAAATGTAGAAATATAAAACTAAGTTTTTGTTAATATGGGTCCAATATGTTAAGCATATTGTTTAAGGATGTGCTAAGCACCAGTTTTAAAACTCACAGATGTTTTCTGTACTACAGTGCTTTACAAATGTATTGTTATTTAAAATTGTTGTATAGCTTTTTGTTGAAATTTCTGGAGTGGACTGCACAATTATTTCCTGTATTTTAAAACACATTTTTAAACTTTGTGGAAAATATAAAAACATTTTTCAATTCTATCAGAGCTGTTATGGTTTTCAAAATTTGTTCTTGCTCTGGCAATTAACCAATTCCTTTTAAAATAGTACATGCCTATAATAATATTTAAATAATAAGAAAATAATATTTAAATTTATACCCGCAAACGTGTCTATACCTATAAAAATATTCAAATTTATTTCTGCAGAGTCGTTTGACTCCAAATCGAGTTGTTTATATACTTTCAGTTTATATTATTTCTTCAAGTGTCTTCATCAGATACATATGAGTAGCATAAAATTCTGATTTTGTTTTTTTCGGCCATAAAAATGCATTGCCAGAGAGAGTCAAGCTGCAGAACTTTTTTGAGGTTTGTGGAGTTTTTGCGTCAACAAATCGTTGGAAAGTTTCTCCGAAGCAGGCAACTTAATGAGCAGCACAGATGCAACAAGAACAACAATCAAGGCAAACAGCTCACTCACATGTGCTGCCACACACACACACACACACACACACACACACACACACACACGCACACTCACAGTATATGAGTGTATATTCTGTCCAAGAAACAGAAAAGCTTATAGCCCCATGCAGTTATGGCAAGCAATTAATTTAAATGCTGTTTTCATTTTTGTTTATCTTAAGTTTCTCTGCGGCTGCAAAATGTTCCCAAACTGCTCCTTGGCTTCAATGTCAATGCTTGTCATATAGTACTCGTATACTATATAGAAGTACATCTGTAAAAAGTGTGTTTTTGTTTCATTTTTGTAACTCGTAAAACTTTTTGGCAGCCAAAATAGAAATAAAAATAAAAAAAATTCTACATTTTATGACAGTGCGTGTGCTGATTTTTCTCTTGGTCTCAAATTTCAAAACTTTCTCTATTTTTGTCATGGTTTTTTATGGCTTTTAAGCGTGTCGTCAGAGCTGTTAGCCCACAGCTTGGCTGCAACAACAACAATCCACAAAACTTTTTCCCTTATGACTCGCTTATGAAATTAAGCAATTTTCCACACACACACATACACACACCCTCAAACTCCCAAAGTCTGGAACGTGCACACATGACGACCGATTTGCCACAAAAACAAATTTTATGCACTTTTTTATGAGTTTTGGCAAAGTGTTTGTAATTAAATTAATAAATTGTGTTTTGGGACACCCAATTTTTTTATGTTGAAATTTAATTTAATTGCAGTTATATTTGGCAATTTTATGTGGCTATTTGTGTTTTGTTGCCAGTCTGCTGCTCTATGATAGAGCCAGACACGAAGCTATGACAATTGTGTTAATGAAGATATCGTCAGCCCAGGATGTTCGTGAAAATTGTCTCCGTTTTATGGCATATCCCAGCAGGATGCTGCTTTTAAATGCAGATAACGACCTACTTTCGCACATCATTTCAAAAGTAAACATAATTTACATTGTGGCAGACAAAACATTTTCATAACCGTTTCGTAAATTGATGAATTAAATTTCTTGTTTTTTTCAATTTTCTGCAGTCTTTATCTCGCTTATTTGTATTCAAAGTTTAATAATTATAATTGGTTTTAAATTTGACTCTAACTCCGCCGCAGAATGCGTATTCCTCGGAATTATTAAGCGTTTGATTAGTTCCTAAGAAGCTTCTTAGTTTCTCGACAAACACAATTTTTCGTTATAATTGAACTGTAAACGATATGGTGA